TCTCTCTCTCTCTCTCTCTCTCTCTCTCTCTCTCTGTCTACCTGCAGGTGTGCGATAGCTAGGTTGTTCTGGTCGAGCAGGTCCCACGACTTCTGTCGCCGTGCCGGCGGTGCCGCCCCGCCCGTCTCTGCGGGAGCTGAGCTGCTGTTGCGTACGGGTGTGTGACTCGGCGCGGTGTGACGACACGTGCTCGCGGTCGTGCAGACCTGCGGGGGGCGGAACACACGCGATACACACACACGCACGCACGCACGCACGCACGCACACACACACACACACACACACACACACACACACACGCACACACACACACACGGACGAAGAAACACATTCTCGCATAAAATGTTAGTTCACGTTAGTTCACGTTAGTTCATGTTAGTTCACATCAGTTCACATTAGTTCACGTTAGTTCATGTTAGTTCATGTTAGTTCGCAATTAGTTCACGTTAGTTCATGTTAGTTCACATTAGTTCACGTTAGTTCACAATAGTTCATGTTAGTTCACATTAGTTCACATTAGTTCATGTTAGTTCACAATAGTTCATGTTAGTTCGCATTAGTTTACATTAGTTCATGTTAGTTCATGTTAGTTCACAATAGTTCATGTTAGTTCACATTAGTTCACGTTAGTTCACGTTAGTTCACATTAGTTCATGTTAGTTCGCATTAGTTCATGTTAGTTCATGTTAGTTCATGTTAGTTCGCATTAGTTCATGTTAGTTCATGTTAGTTCGCATTAGTTCATGTTAGTTCATGTCAGTTCATGTTAGTTTACATTAGTTCGCCTTTATAAACAAGTGATGCGCCAGTAAAATCTGCATGTGGTGGAGGTACGTATGTCCTGGGTGGATGGGTGGATGGGAGGGGGGTCAGTAGAAGCATCATACGTACTTAGTGGTACTACGTGCGATATGGTATTTCCCGTGACCCCTTGTACACACGCACAATGAATGCTCGCACACATGTACCTCAAGGCATGATCCCCCTCCCCCACCCCGCCCCCGCCCCCGCCCCCACCCCCACCCACGTACCTGGTGTGTCATGAGCTCGGCACCGATGCTGTCCGTGGAAGCCGACTCCGTCATCGTGTTCTTCAGCCGGTGCTTGAGGTGGCAGCGGCTCTGCACCTCCTCCGACACGGACACGAGAGCGGCGAGGTAGGGAACCGACTCAGGAGTCACCTCAAACTTGTCTCTGCTTGACGAACGCGCAGCGGCGGCAGCGGCGATGGCGGCGGGGGAGAGAACGAGTGAAATATCAGCGATTAGCATGGTGGGGAGGTAGATATATCGCGCACACAATTAATGCACACACACAATTAATGCTCACACACACACACGCACAATGAATGATCACACACACACGCATTTCCACACACGACCTCCTCCCTCCCCCTCTCCCCCTCCTCCCTCCTCCTCCCTCCCCTCCTCCTCCCTCCCCCTCACCTCCCGCTCTGCGTCGTACCTGCTGTAGGGTTTCGCGACGGTGCTGAGGATCATGTTGAGCACGCGGATCGTACGGCTCACAGTGTTCGGCGCGGGATGCCGGAAGCCCTTCAGGAGGTGTCCGACGAGAGCGAAGTTGAAGTTGGCCTTGAAGCTGAGGCCGATCGAGTGGTCGAGCTGCTTGAAGTGCCACTCTAGCGGCTCGCGAGAGCTCATCATGACTGCCTCGAGCGCCTGCGACAACGAACACGTAAGTGTAAAACACCATGTATATCTATCCATATATCATATGTATATATATATACACCATATATCTATGCTATAATACATCTAGTATCTCAATGATGACACACCGCCAGCATCACGACAACTCTTAGAATCACAAAGACGCTCCCCAGAATTGCCATGTCGAGTGTGTGCCTCCCCCCCGCCCCCTCCCCCCGCCGTGACCTCCTCCCTCACTCCCCCCGATGTGCGCCGTGACCTCCTCCTCACCTCCCCACCGCGTGACCTCTCCTCACCTCCCCCCCGCATCCGCAGTGACCTCCTCCCTCACCCCCCCGCGTGACCTCCTCCCTCACCTCCCCCCTGCATTTGACCTCCGCCCTCAATTCCCCCGCACCCACCGCGTACTCCTCCCTCACCTCCCCCCGCGTGACCTCCTCCCTCACCTCCCCGCGTGACCTCAACCCGCACCTCCACCCCCGTGACCTCCTCCTCATCCCCTTGGTTCGCGTACCTCCTTCTCACCTCTCCCTGCACCCACCCGATGACCTCCTCCCTCACCTCCCCCCGATTGACTCCCCCCGCACCCACCGCCCGCGTGACTCCTCCCACTCACCTCCCCCTCGCGTACCTCCTCCTCACCTCACCCCGCTTCTCGTGACCTCCTCCCTCACCTCCCCCGCGGCTGACCTCCTCCTTCACCGCCACCCCTGACTTCTCCTCACCTCCCCCGGCTACCCAAACCGTCATGACCTCTCCCTCACTCCCCCGTCGTGACCTCCTCCTACTCCCCCGCCGTGACCTCCTCCATCACCTTCTCCGCATGGCCTCATCTCGG